TCCCCCAGGTCCTCCTGTGCTCTGAAGGGGATGACAGCCTAAAACAAGTGATTCCTGCAGCCTATAATAAGTTTCTTGATGTGTTCAGTGAACGGGGAGCAGATACTCTACCCCCCCACCGCCCATATATGACTGTCCTATTGATCTGTTACCCGGTTCTGAAATTCCCTTCGGGCGAATTTTTCCCCTTTCTGAGCTAGAATTAGGGGCCCTGAAGGATTATATTGAGGACAGCCTCCGGAAGGGATTCATCCATCCCTCCACTTCCCCAGCAGGTGCAGGGATCTTCTTTGTAGAAAAGAAAGACAAGACTTTGAGGCCATGTATTGACTATCGGGAGCTGAATAGGGTCACAATCAAAAATCGTTACCCATTACCACTGGTACCAGAATTATTCCAGAGCTTAAAAGCTGCAGTAGTATTTACCAAGCTGGACTTAAGGGGAGCCTACAATTTGGTTCGCATAAGGGAGGGGGATGAGTGGAAAACGGCCTTCCGCACCCGTTTCGGCCATTTCGAATACCTGGTCATGCCTTTCGGGTTGTGCAACGCGCCGGCCACCTTCCAGCACTTTGTAAACGACATCTTTAGGGACTTCCTGGACATCTTTGTCATCGTCTACTTAGACGACATTTTGATTTTCTCATCCTCCCTGGGGGAGCACAGGGTACATGTAACAAAGGTGTTGGGGCGGTTGCGGCAGCACGGGTTGTACGCTAAAGCAGAGAAATGTTGCTTTGAACAGGCTAGCGTTACATTTCTGGGTCTGATTATCTCCACCACGGGGGTCGCAATGGACCCTCAGAAGGTCTCTGCGATCCTAGATTGGCCTGAACCCACGGACAGGAAAAGCGTACAACGTTTTATCGGGTTCGCAAACTTCTACCGGAAGTTCATCAAGAACTGCTCGGGTCTGGTCTCCCCCATCACTCAGTTAACCAAGCTTGGGACGCGATTCAGATGGACGCCAGAGGCACAGGAAGCTTTTGAAGCACTAAAGAAGTTATTTACCTCGGCACCCATTCTGGGTCATCCCGACGCCTCCCTGCCCTACATCTTAGAAGTAGATGCGTCAGAAAACGCGGTTGGCTCCATCCTTTCCCAGCAAAAGGGCGCCAAGGAATGGGGGCCCCTCCAGAACAAGGGTTGGGACTAGTCGCGAGGGAAGAGACCCTGAGTCTTTGGTACATTTGCATGACCACCCGATCCAGGACTTTTGCCCACAATGACCCTGAGAACTTCACCGACTTCCTTCTGGTGGCCGGACATTACTTCACCCAGTAGCATTCTTCTCACGGAAACTTACCCCTGCGGAGAAGAACTACGACATTGGGGATCGAGAACTACTGGCTATCAAGACCGCATTAGAAGAATGGAGGTACTTTTTTTACAGTTTACCTCGAGATTTTGGAGGGCATTGTGCAGCGGAAAAGCCCTGGATATCAAGCTATCCCTTTCCTCGACATTTCACCCTCAGACCAATGGTCAGACCGAAAGGACCAATCAGACCCTAGAGCAATACCTGCGATGCTACACATCATTCTCTCAGGACGACTGGGTGCCACTTCACCCTTTGGCGGAATTCGCGTACAACAATGCTTGCCATTCAGCAACAGGGCAGTCCCCGTTCTTCTCCAACTATGGGTTTCACCCTGTCTTCCTCCCGGATTTAGTTCCGGAATGCCCAATTCCAGCAACACAGGATGCACTAACCTTTTTCACTTCAAACAATAAAAAACTACAGGAAGCCATCCGTCAAGCCCAAGAAGACTACAAGAGGGCTTTTAATAGGAAGCGAAGAGGGGATCTGGTGTTGCGGCCCGGAGAGAAGGTTTGGCTGGCTACATCGAACTTGAAGATGCTCTGCCCGTCAAAGAAGTTGGGACCTAAATTTATAGGCCCTTTTTGCATCAAACGGATGGTCAATGAAGTGGCCTATGAACTTGTTCTCCCTGAGAAACTCAAGATCCACCCTGTCTTCCACGTGTCCCTGTTGAAGCCGGTAGTCCCTGATGCCTTCCCGGAACGGGAATCCAGGCCCCCGGAGGCCGTAACAGTTGAAGAGGAAGAAGAATTCGAGGTGGAGGCAATCCTGAAGTGCCGACGAAGGGGGGGCCAGACCCAATTTCTCATCAAGTGGAAGGGCTACGGCCCTGAGGACAATTCGTGGGAACCAGCCCATAATGTCCATGCACCTAGACTTGTCCGGAGGTTTCTTTGTGATCACCCGTGGTGGAGAGATCGGGTGGGCATCCGGAGGTTGCCCGTAGGGGGGGGGGGGGGCAATGTCAGGGATCCCCTCGATCCCTGCCGCGATGGTCCCGGCGCAGGCGCACTGCTCCGCCCTGTGCACGGGCCCTAGGTCCGGGCTGGCCGCGGCGTTCGAGTTCACGCATGCGCAGTAGAAGCCACGGCCGCCCGCTGGGCACCAATGGCAGCGCAGGGCGGGATATTTAAATGTCCCTGAGCTGTCAATTCGTTGCCTTCTGGTCTTACCTGCTTCCTGTGATTCTGAACCGGTGCCTTGTAAGTTTATTGACCCGGATTGTTCTTGACCTGCTGATTTCTCCTGCCCAGACCCTTGCTTTGCCTGACCTCTCTCCCTGCATGCCCCTCATTAGATCTGACCTACTGTTGCTGACCTGGCGTGTGACCCGACGATTCTCTGCCTGCTCCCTTGTACCTTACCGTCCTCTACGTTACCAACTCGGCCTGTCTGACTTCGCACTTGCTCAGCCATCCATCCATCCCATCGGGGTCACCCGACCTCCTCACATCTGGCTCTCCCTGGTTGGAGCCCTTGGCGAACACCCCTACCACTGACAGGTGTGCTCAGTAGTGGCGACCTGGTCTCGGGGTACTACAAGTCCATCCCCACCATCAGGGGCCCTGGTGAACAAGTACCCTGGGGCTTAGATTCCGCGCTCTGGGCACGCCTGACGGTGGAGTGCTAGTGGTGCTGCTCGGCGGTCCCTCGGGGGGGGGGGGGGGGGGGGGTATTTGCAGGGTGTGTGCTGTGAACACCCCGCACCCATGGATGATATGCCTCTCATCTTCCCACCGGCTCCATCACCAACACAGTGTCCGGACCCTTCACCTGACTCACTCTGCCACTACGTGAAGTGACAGGTGAGCTACTTCTGGGTCGGGATCTGAGACTGCCTCCTTCTCCGCTCCCCACACTGTCACTGGACAGTGATCCTCTCATGGCCCCCTACTGACCTCGGGCCCTCAGGCAATGCCCGAATGGTCAGTCCGCCCCTACTCGAACGTGATCTACCTGTCCATCTACTGGCAGTCAACAGGTAGCTTGGGATCAACAAGTTAGCGACCTCCAAATTACATTGTTGCCAGGTCAGTGTAAGTCAGCAGCAGGGGCGGACTGACCATTTGGAAACACTGGCACTTCCCAAGGGCCCAGGGTCAGTAGGATTCCCCATGAGATGCCCCTGGTACCTTTTTCATAGACTTTTTTGAGTTTGGGCAAGGACACAGGGGCCCCATGATCCCCTATTGCCCAGGGGCCCCATGAGTTGTCAGTCCGCCCCTGGTCAGCACCACTATTCTTGATCACTGTCACAGTGCCAGTGCAGCCAGCAAAAGTGTTCCTGATTGCTGCCACATCAGTGACAGTGTCACAAGACCAGTGAAGCCAACAGCAATGTTCCTGATCTTAAGCCACACCAGTGCAAGTGTCACCAGAATCAGTACAGCCATCAAAAGTGTTCCCGATCGCCACCACATCAGTACAGGATCCCCAGGGCCAGCAACAGTTTTTCTGATTACTGCCCACAAGTGCAGTGTTCCTTTTGCTTGCTGCCTGTACTGACCCTGACCTCTTTATTGAGCACATTTCTGCCTACTACCTGGACCAATTATTTTCCTGTTTATTGACATCTCTGCCTGTTCCCTGAACTGATCCATTTGCACATCCCACTGACCACCAGTCCCAGCCATCCCCTATGGGCAACTGCACTCCTAAAACCACAAGAAGTCTTTTGTTCACCCTTTGTTCATCCTCTTGTACTTCCTGGCCAGTCAAGACTACCTAAGGGCAGTCATGTATCAGCAGGATAGGCTTGCTTAGCTTATAACTTGCTTAGCTTTTTCAACTGGGATGTGGCAAAGAGTCGCTACGGCAAAATGACATAAATCCCTACACAGTCCGATCATTAAAGGGTTCCTCTGTTAACTTCTGTGTACAGAGGAGGAGGGAGAGAGCATATCCCGCACCTCCTTCCAACTCTCTCCTCCTCTATGCCGTTATCTGTACTCTTGCTGAAATCTGTGCAAGCCACCCGCCCATGTCCCGCCAATCAATGACATCATCGGTTGCTAAGAACAGGTTGGGCAGCCCCCACAGCTTTTAGCTTTGCTAGAAAGAGCAGATAACAGTACACAGAAGCTACCAGAGGAACCCTTTCATAATCAAACTCCCCCGATTACCTCCCCCATCTTCTATCCAGGCAACAAAAAAAATTGTAGGTGAGGGCAGTGTTCAAACCCTGCACAGTCCTGATCTGAGAATTCTTTATTACCTGTTGTATTCAGACAGGAGGGAGGGAAGCTGGGGTGTAAGAGAGCACAGCCCGCACCTCCTCCAGGCTCACTCTTCATCTCTTGTCAGATATCCGGGTATGACCAGAAGTGTGTGGACTGACACAGGGAAATGCAGGCTTCAAGTATAGTAAATAATATAATTTATTAAGACTAACAATACAAACGCAGTGCAGAACTAAGCATAAACACAGTGCAAACAAACTAAACCAAACCTCCAACAGATAAACATACAATACAAGAGTAGTCAGGCAGGCCGGGTCAGTAGCAAATGGAGTACCAGGAGCAGGCGGGGAGAGTGGTCAGGACTAGCCGAGGTCAGTACAGGCAAAGTTCAAGCAGAGTCAGGACAGAAGTAACAGGATCAGGAAACCAGGGCCAAGCGAACAGTACAACAAGGCACTGACTGCAGGTCTGGCCATCCTTTAAATACACCACCTGCAATCAGCCCAGGTGATGGCTAATTGCAGGAGTGAGCCTCTGGTTGTTGAGAGCACCTGCTGGCCAGCCCTGGTACTGCAGCCCACAAGGCAGGTGAGTCCCACCACTACTGGCAAGTCCATTCCTGACAGTACCCCCCTCTCAAGGAGCGGCCTCAGGACACTCTAAACAGTCCTAGCTGGGCAAAATGTTCCACCGCCCGGGTCCGGTAACTGGCGGGATATCAAAGACTGGCACATCGAGCTGGGCACCGGACAGAGGCACATCAGGCTGGGCACCGGGCCAACAGGCGGAGCAGCGGGCACCGGGCCAACAGGCAGAGCAGCGGGCACCAAGTCATCTGGCAAGACAGCGGGTCACCAGGCACGACAGCGGGCACCGGGTCACCAGGCACGACAGCGGGCACCGGGTCACCAAGCATCGGGTCATCTGGCATCAGGTCATCTGGCTCGACAGCGAGTACCGGGTCATCTGGCTCGACAGCGGGCACCGGGTCACCAGGCATCAGGCCATCTGGCTCGACAACGGGTACCGGGTCATCTGGTTCGACAGCAGGCACCAGGTCATCAGGCATTGGATCGTCTGGCTCGACAGCGGGCATCGGGTCACCAGGCCATCTAGCTCGACAGCTGGCATCGGGTCATCTGGCATCAGGTCATCTGGCTCGACAGCGGGCATCGGGTCATCACGCACGACAGCGGGCACTGGGTCATCAGGCATTGGATCGTCTGGCTCGACAGCGGGCATCGGCTCACCAGGACCATCTGGCTCGACAGCAGGCACCGAGTCACCTGGCATGATAGGTTCATCAGGCTGGATAGAGACATCAGGCTGGGTATCAGGCTGGGTAGAGACATCAGGCTGGGTAGAGACATCAGGCTGAATTGCGGGCGCTGAGGCACCAGGCTGAACCATGGAAGGCGGGTTCTCAGATGGCAGGCTGACCGGTTTGGATACTGGCAGGATGGTACTGGTTGTAAAGAATTTTCGCCTTTTCCTGGTTTTAGTTACCGGAGCACTGTAAGTAAGCGCAGGTTTGTAAACAGATGGAGCAGCTGAAGACAGAGAAGAGCTGGGAGGATGGAACAGAGGAGGGAGCAGTTGCTACAGAGGACTTCTTTACAGGGTTAAAAGGCAGGATAGGTGCAGCGAGTGGGAGCAGAGGACGGATATGTGGTAGTTAGCAGAGTATACTGGGCCGTCACTGGGGGTGCTGTCGGGGATGCAGGAAGAGTGCCTTGAGCGGAGGAATGACGTTGTAAGCTGACTGAGGCTGGGTGCAACAAGTCTGACCATGTCTGCAGTATGGGTTGAACAAAGCTCAGCTTACACAAAGCCTGTCTGGTCAAAGACTGCACTGCGTTTATACAATCCCTTAGTACCTGTTGTGAACATGCAGAATAATGCTCCAAGAAGCAATCCACATCATCCTCTAATAACCATACCAGGGACTCTACCTGGTCTGCACTAAATGGTGGCAAAAAGTCATTCCTGCTTTCAGGGGTACCAGATGAAGCCAACTCTGCGCAAACCTGAAACAAAGGTTGCACCTCAGAGAATTCTGTGCCCTGATCCACTAGAACATGAGCGACCCATATACATTCTAGCAGTTGATCCCTGGTATACTCCTTCAGAGTCTGATAAGCATACTCTCTTTCATCCAGCAGAGACAAATACACCACCTCATCAGGATGCATCCTTCCCAGCAACAATAAGCCAAGATGGCTTCCCTGTGCAGCCACTTGTGGTCAGGAATGGCCTTGTTGTAATTTCAGGGATCCGGGTACGACCAGAAGTGTGTGTGGACTGACACAGGGAAACGCAGGCTTCAGGTATAGTAAATTATATAATTTTTTAAGACTAACAATACAAAACGCAGTGCAAAACCAAACAAACACAGTGCAAACAAACTAAACCAAACCTCCAAACAGATAACAAACATACAATACAAGAGTAATCAGGCAGGCCGGGTCGGTAGCAAACAGAGTACCAGGAGCAGGCGGGAGAGTGGTCAGGACTAGCCGAGATCAGTACAGGCAGAGTTCAAGCAGAGTCAGGACAGAAGTAACAGGATCAGGAAACCAGGGCCAAGCAAACAGTACAACAAGGCACAGACTGCAGGTCTGGCCATCCTTTAAATACACTATTTAAATAAATAAATAAATAGTTTATTTACCCGGAAATGCAAATAACACATTGTGTGTGTGTGTATGTATATATATTATATATATATATATATACACATATACATACATACATACATACATACACACACACACACACACAGGTCCATAAATATTGGGACATGGACACAATTCTAACATTTTTGGCTCTATACACCACCACAATGGATTTGAAATGAAACAAACACGATGTGCTTTAACTGCAGACTGTGAGCTTTAATTTGAGGGTATTTACATCCAAATCAGGTGAACGGTGTAAGAATTACAACAGTTTGCATATGTGCCTCCCACTTGTTAAGGGACCAAAAGTAATGGGACAGAATAATAATCATAAATCAAACTTTAACTTTTTAATACTTGGTTGCAAATCCTTTGCAGTCAATTACAGCCTGAAGTCTGGAACGCATAGACATCACCAGACGCTGGGTTTCATCCCTGGTGATGCTCTGCCAGGCCTCTACTGCAACGGTCTTCAGTTCCTGCTTGTTCTTGGGGCATTTTCCCTTCAGTTTTGTCTTCAGCAAGTGAAATGCATGCTCAATCGGATTCAGGTCAGGTGATTGACTTGGCCATTGCATAACATTCCACTTCTTTCCCTTAAAAAACTCTTTGGTTGCTTTTGCAGTATGCTTTGGGTCATTGTCCATCTGCACTGTGAAGCGGCATCCAATGAGTTGTGAACCATTTGGCTGAATATGAGCAGATAATATTGCCCGAAACACTTCAGAATTCATCCTGCTGCTTTTGTCAGCAGTCACATCATCAATAAATACAAGAGAACCAGTTCCATTGGCAGCCATACATGCCCACGCCATGACACTACCACCACCATGCTTCACTGATGAGGTGGTATGCTTAGGATCATGAGCAGTTCCTTTCCTTCTCCATACTCTTCTCTTCCCATCACTCTGGTACAAGTTGATCTTGGTCTCATCTGTCCATAGGATGTTGTTCCAGAACTGTGAAGGCTTTTTTAGATGTCGTTTGGCAAACTCTAATCTGGCCTTCCTGTTTTTGAGACTCACCAATGGTTTACATCTTGTGGTGAACCCTCTGTGTTCACTCTGGTGAAGTCTTCTCTTGATTGTTGACTTTGACACACACACACACACACACCTACCTCCTGGAGAGTGATCTTGATCTGGCCAACTGTTGTGAAGGGTGTTTTCTTCACCAGGGAAAGAATTCTTCGGTCATCCACCACAGTTGTTTTCCGTGGTCTTCCGGTTCTTTTGGTGTTGCTGAGCTCACCGGTGCATTCCTTCTTTTTAAGAATGTTCCAAACAGTTGTTTTGGCCACGTCTAGCAATGTTTTTGCTATCTCTCTGATGGTTTTGTTTTGTTTTTTTCAGCCTAATGATGGCTTGCTTCACTGATAGTGACAGCTCTTTGGATCTCATCTTGAGAGTTGACAGCAACAGATTCCAAATGCAAATAGCACACTTGAAATGAACTCTAAACCTTTTATCTGCTCATTGTAATTGGGATAATGAGGGAATAACACACACCTGGCCATGGAACAGCTGAAAAGGCAATTGTCCCATTACTTTTGGTTCCTTAACAAGTGGGAGGCACATATGCAAACTGTTGTAATTCCTACACCGTTCACCTGACCTGGATGTAAATACCCTCAAATTAAAGCTGACAGTCTGCAGTTAAAGCACATCTTGTTTGTTTCATTTCAAATCCATTGTGGTGGTGTATAGAGCCAAAAATGTTAGAATTGTTCCGATGTCCCAATATTTATGGACCTGAATGTATATATGTATATACAGTTGTGTTCAAAATAATAGCAGTGTGTTGAAAAAAGTGAATAAAGCTCAAAATCCTTCTTCTAATAGCGTTTATTTCCATACACACATTCTATTTCCAAATCAAAACATAAAAGAAAAAATATCAAATTTGTGTTCCTATAAAAAAAAAAAAAAAAAAAAAAAATGAAGAAAAGTGAATATTAGGCTGTTCAAAAAAATAGCAGTGTTTGTATTCTTCTTTACAAACTCAAACATTCATTATATAAACTGAAAAAAGTTTGAAGATTTTGCTTTCCTTTGAATCACTTAATATTTCATTGTATAAGCACTGTTTGAGAACTGCTGTACATCTGTGTTGCATGGAGTCAACCAACTTCTGGCCCCTGTGATCAGGTATTCCAGCCCAGGATGATTGGACTACATTCTACAGTTCTCCATTTCTTGGTTTTTCCTCAGAAACTGCATTTTTTATGTCACCCCACAAGTTTTCTATTGGATTAAGATCCGGGGATTGGGCTGGCCACTCCATAACGTCAATCTTGTTGGTCTGGAACCAAGATGTTGCACGTTTACTGGTGTGTTTGGGGTCGTTGTCTTGTTGGAACATCCATTTCAAGGGCATTTCCTCTTCAGCATAAGGCAGCATGACCTCTTCAAGTATTCTGATGTATTCAAACTGATCCATGATCCCTGGTATGCGATAAATAGGCCCAACACCGTAGTATGAGAAACATCCCCATATCATGATGCTTGCGCAACCATGCTTCACTGTCTTCACAGTGTACTGTGGTTTGAATTCAGTGTTTGGGGGTCGTCTGACAAACTGTCTCCGGCCACTAGACCCAAAAAGAACAATCTTACTTTCATCAGTCCACAAATGTTGCGCCATTTCTCTTTAGGCCAGTCAATGTGCTCTTTGGCAAATTATAACCTCTTCAGCATGTCTTTTTTTCAACAGTGGGACTTTGTGGGGGCTTCTTGCAGATAGAAGACGGATATGTGAAGCCAAGCTAATTGTAACCGTACTTACAGGCAACTTTAGATCTTCTTTGATCTTACTGAAACTGATTGTTGGCTGAGTCCTTGCCATTTTGGCTATTCTTCTATCCATTCGAATGGTAGTTTTTAGCTTTCTTTCAGGTTTTGGTTGCCATTTTAAAGCATTTGCGATCATTTTAGCTGAGCAGCCTATCATTTTCTGCACTTCTTTATATGTTTTGCCCTCTCCAATCAACTTTTTAATCAAGGTACGCTGTTCTTCTGAAAAATGTCTCAAACGACCCATTTTCCTTAGAATTTCAGAGAGAAATGCACTGTAACCAGCATGTACAACATTTGCTGCCTTCCTTCCTTTAGAAGGGCAATAATTGCCACCTGTTTTTCAAAGAATGAATGACCTCACTAATAGAACTGCACACTGCTATTATTTTGAACATGCCCCTTTCAATTAGTGATTCAATTACACAGAATCAGCAGTATGCATGTCATGACTGTTGGGTCTGTTGGATTTCTATTACTCTACTACACCTGCTAGTAAATTATTTGCCATGTAGAAATATCATTTCTACCAAAAACAGTGATTGATCAGGTTAGTGATGTTTGACTGCTATTATTTTGAACACAACTGTATATGTGGGTGTGTGATTTTGCGCAGTCCTGCTGCCCTGTAGCAGTATTTCTGCTATAGGGCATCAGGCAAGCGGCTGTAAAACGTAACACGAGAACATGCAAAAAAAAAAAAAAAAAAAAAAAAAAAAAAAAAAAAAACGCTCGCGCTTGGAAGAACCCCCTTCGTGAACGAGCCATCAGACTGGTGCTCCCCAGGCAATTTTAAAGGGTGCCTTGAATGAAATATAGTTTGAAAAACACTGGCTTATAGGAATGGGAACTATGGGAACTGCTGTAGCTCACGCTAAACTAAGCTACATTCCCTGACCACTGCAGGCATCGTCCTGGTATGAAGATTTGCAGTTGGTGGTTCCCTGATAAGCAGAAGTGATTCAAATGGCTGAAGTCTGCAGGTGGCGAAAGAGGGTCCTCTCATCCTGCCATTCAATCAGGGAGCCTGAGATTGCTCTGACCGGCGGCAACAGCTGCACTAAACAGAGAGAGAGTAACTGACATTGTTCCTTCCTCTCTGTTACCTCCTATAAACCAGAACTGACAAGGATTTGTCACCTCTGGTTTTGGTTCTTTGTTTACCTGGCAGTGAGCGGCAAGGAAAGCAGCCAATAAGACCAATCTGTGTCTGGTCAAGTGCATTAGAGGCCAGAGGAGAAATATGGGGTCTAATAGACCCCAGATCTCTCCATACAGAGGACCTGTCATGGCCCATGCTATCCCAAGGAATATTGTTCATCTCTTGAGATAGCAATAAAGTTGATAAAAAAAAAAATTAAAGAGACAGCTAAGAAAAGTATTAAATAAAAGAAATAATAATGAAAGCGCCACCATGTTCATGTGCAAATCCATATGTAAACGGTGACTGCACCACAAAGGTGAGGTACCGTTGTGAACATCAGCATGAGAGCAATCGTTTTAGCTTCAGACCTCCGTTGTAACCTGTAAAGGCATTTAAAGCGTTGCCTATGCAGATTTTTAGGCACCGTAGTTTGGCACTGTTCTATGGGCGGACGCATGATATGTATCCATTTACTCAGTGTAACATCATCTTGTATACTTTACCAAAAAAGTGGGAATTATATAGTGTTTGTGTGCAATAAAATTCATAAACCACTAGCCTACAGGGCATTTATACCCCCTTCCTGCCCAGGCCAATTTCCAGCCTTCGGTGCTGTCGCACTTTGAATGACAATTGCGCGGTCATGCAACACTGTACCCATATGACATTTTTATTTTTTTTTTTTTTTTTTTTAGATAGAGCTTTATTTTGGTGGTATTTAATCACCTCTGGGTTTTTTTATTTTTTGCTAAACAAACCAAAAACTGAAAATTTTGAAAAAAAAGTTTTATTTTAAAATTTTGTAAACAAGTGATTTTTCTCCTTCACTGATATGCGCTAATGAGGCTGCAGTGATGGGCACTGATGAGGAGACACTGGTAGGTGGCAGTGATGAGCATTGATAGGCATCACTGACGGACACGGATAGGCAGCACTGAAAGGCAGCTCAGATGGGCACTGATATGTTGCATTGATGTGGCACTGGCAGGTAGCACTGATGAGCACTGACAGCTGGCATTGATGGGCACTGACAGGTGGCACTGCTGGGGCTACACAGATCATCAGTGTAGATGTCCCCTCCGAGGAATGAGGATTACCTGCTCTCCTCTTCTCTAGAGCTGTCAGCGTGACAGCTCGTGAGGAGAGAAATGCAGATAACCGGCATTTCCCTGTTTACATGTGATCAGCTGTGATTGGACACAGCTGATCACATGACCGAGCCAACATCTTTGGCTCTGTTGATCGGTGATCCGCTATGTCCGAGGGACACAGCGTACTGACAGTCGCCACTCTCCCGGAGCTGTGCATGCGCGGTTAGAATGGGAGGACGTCATATGACCTCCTCCCAGAATGAGAGAACTGCCTTGCGCCCGTCATTGCCTTATATGGCGGCCAGGAGGTGGTTAAAGTGTATTTTTCCCCCAAACAACTGTTTGAAAAATACCACAATACACATACACAATACACAAATACCATGTGACATCAAAAATTGTAACACCCACCATTTTATTCTCTAGGGCCTCTGCTAAAACATTTTTTTAAATCAGTAGTAGACTGCAGGGGGGGGGGGGGGGGGGGGGGGAAGTCATCGCATGCTAGCACATTAAGTAAAAAAAAAAAAAAAAAAAAAAAAAAAAAAAAAAAACTTACCTTAAAACGAAGCCCTCCAGCTGCTCGCTGTCACCGCTGTAGAGGCTTCCATCTTCACCCATCACCCTTCCTTGTTCACGAGCTCCAGCCGTCTGACAATTCTAGGCCACGATGACGTCACTCCTGCGCACTGGAGATCCAGGCAACAGCACACAGCTCTGAAGGAACCGCACAGAATATCTCCTAAACAGTACACGGCTGGCAAAAACGCTCACCTTTCCAGGTGGACGCCATATGGCGTCCTTTCAGGCATGCGCAGTTTGCATGCCTGCAGAGCCACGCAGCGGCGAGATCTGGCACTGGCCGTGTACTTTGGACATGGCCGATGAGAGATCTGAGTACTGGCCCCGTTGCCGGTACCATGTGACCAATCACAGCAGGTCACATGACATTTGTATACAATGGATGGCTTCATTCATGCCATCCATTGTATACTAGTGTACCTAGCTGTGAATGGTCACAGCGATCACATGCACAAGCTGGGCTAATCTCCAACTCCTCCTCCACCAAACTCCAAAATGCACCACAGAAATGGAAAGAATGCTCCAGATAGTGAAGTATATCAAAACCAATTTGTACTTTATTAATACTCTTAAAATATGCATTCACATTTGTTTGTGTGCTCCTGGGACACTGCAGGATCAATCTTTGAAATACTTTTTGTGAATGAAACAGCATACAATTCCCTTATCCAAGATGGCAGTACATACACTTCCGGTTCCAGGTTGATGGCATTGGAGTGCCCTATGCATTACGTCATGACATGTGACTTCATCAGGAGGACAGACAATTGCGCAGTCATGCAGCACTGTACATACATTAAATTTGTCATTTTTTTCCCACAAATAGAGCTTTCTTTCGGTGGTATGTGATCACCTCTGTGGTTTTTTATTTTTTGCACTATAAACAAAAAAAAAAAAAAACAAATTTTGAAAAAAAAATGTTTTTGACTTTTTGCTATAAAACATCCAATAGCAAAATTAAAAAAATCAAATTTCATCATAAATTTAGGCCAAAAAGTATTGTACTACATGTCTTTGCTAACAAAAATCCCAATACATGTAAATTAATTGGTTTACATGAAAGTTATAGCATCTACAAACGGTGGTATATATGCTGGAATTTTTATTATTTTTGTTATACTAGTAATAGTAATGGCGGCGATCAGCAACTCATAGCGGGACTGCGGTGGGCATTCTGACACCAGGTGGGAACTAACTGCCACTGACATCACCAGAGACACTAATAGAGTGATCAGTGCTAATAAAAAATTGACACTGTACTAATGACAGTGGGCAGGAAGGGGTTAACATCTGGGGCGATCAAAGGATTTACTGTGTGCGTTTTATTTTGGAGACATGCTGTTTTGTACTTCTCTGCTTTGCAGAGAGATACGACACAGCATGTCCATGCCGATAGGAGAGATACCTGTGTTGTTCACAGTTTCCGGGGGAATTGCCGGCCGGGACCCAGTGACTGACATCCCTAGCCACCAATGGCAGCACAGGTAGTTCGGGTTGCGACTGCACCCCCTACCCAGAAATGCAAATAACACACATATAATATATATACACACACACACTTGGTGAATAAGTTTTGTGCTTTTATTTACAAAGTCCAGTGAACACACGGTGCATAAAAAAAAAAAAAAAAAAAAAAAAAAAAAAAAAAAAAAAAAAACAGCAAAACAAAAAATAAAGCCTGGCCACACTGGGCTAACTACAACACACAGCTTTCCTATCTAGCGGTCTGTATGCAGCCTACCACTGCTCAGACACAGGGTGTTCACACAGTTCCAAAATCACAGCGATTGTTTCTCACCATAGGTTGGTTTGGTTGCTCCCCAGTCTGTCTTACACAGCCAACTGGTTCCAGGTTGGCGCATTCTCCCTATGCAGCCTGGGAGTTTTATAGAGCCCAGAGCCCTTAACTCACTACACCTGAGCTAATTATCCACAGTGAGCCACACAGGATCACTACACAGCACAACAGGAGAAATAGTCTGTGTAGAGCAGGAACCTGGGACAAATATATCTCCCATCCTGAACACATCCCCTAGTTCTTCCTGACCTCCTGTCACAATATATATACAGTCAGGTCCATAAATATTGGGGACATGGACACAATTCTAACATTTTTGTCTCTATACATCACCACAATGGATTTGAAATGAAACTAACAAGATGTGCTTTAACTGCAGACTGTCAGCTTTAATTTGAGTGTATTTACATCCAAATCAGGTGAACGGTGTAGGAATTACAACAGTTTGCATATGTGCCTCCCACTTTTTAAGGGACCAAAAGTAATGGGACAGAATAATAATCATAAATCTAACTTTCACTTTTTAATACTTGGTTGCAAATCCTTTGCAGTCAATGATAGCCTGAAGTGTGGAACGCATAGACATCACCAGACGCTGGGTTTCATCCCTGGTGATGCTCTGCCAGACCTCTACTGCAACTGTCTTCAGTTCCTGCTTGTTCTTGGGACATTTTCCCTTCAGTTTTGTCTTCAGCAAGTGAAATGCATGCTCAATCGGATTCAGGTCAGGTGATTGACTTGGCCATTGCATAACATTCCACTTCTTTCCCTTAAAAAACTCTTTGGTTGCTTTTGCAGTATGCTTTGGGTCATTGTCCATCTGCACTGTGAAGCGGCGTCCAATGAGTTCTGAAGCATTTGGCTGAATATGAGCAGATAATATTCCCGAAACACTTCAGAATTCATCCTGCTGCTTTTGTCAGCAGTCACATCATCAATAAATACAAGAGAACCAGTTCCATTGGCAGCCATACATGCCCACGCCATGACACTACCACCACTATTACTATGGTAACATTGTACTACTTTGGTTATAGTGAAATATGAAAAAAAAAAATCTTAAAAAAAAAGAAAGAAATGTAATAAAAATTATAAATAAAAAAAAATAAAAAAAAGTATTTTTTTTTCCATACTGTCACCAGTCAGTGTCCCTGATCACCGCCATGCCAGTTATATGATGATGCTGTACTGAACTGGTGACAGTATGTAAAAAAAAAAATAGTGAAAATAATTTTAATTTTTTCATTTTTCAAAAAATATGACAAAAAAAAATACAACTTCAAAAAACTTCGCCATGCCTCTTATGAAATACATTGGACTGTCTACTCTGCAAAAAGGGGTCATTTGGGGGATATCTGTACTGTTCTGACATTCTTGGACCTCAATAATTAGATTGGCTGTCAGTACTTCAGGATTGATCAATATTCAGATCTATACCATAGTTTGTGAACTCTATAACTTTCCTACAAACTAACAAATACATCCTAATTTGGGTTATTTTCACCAAAGACATGTAGCAGAATACATCTCGGCCTAAATGTATGAAGAACAAATATTTATTTGTAAACTTTTATAACAGAAACAAAGAAAGATGTGATTTTATTTCAAACTTTTCGGTCTTTTTTTGTTAATTTAGCAAAAAATAAAAACCCCAGCGGTGATTAAATACCACCAAAAGAAAGCTCTAGTTGTGTGAAGAAAATGATAAAAATTTTAGTTTGGGTACAATGTTGTATGACCGCGCAATTGTCAAAGTGTGAGAGCGCTGAAACCTGGAAACTGGCCTGGGCAGGACGGGGTATAAGTGCCCGGCATGGAAGAGGTTAATGTTTAGAGGTACAAAGTCATGTCTAGTAAAACAATGTATTCTGTTTTCCATATAAGTGAGAAGTCAGACCTGGCCTGGTGTTGAGGTGGTTAAGCTATACATCCGGGACATTTACACTCTCACTGAAAACCCAGCAATAGCCATGTGATCACACAGACACGTGACATGACAGCCTCCTATACAACACACGGCACTGCCTGTGCTCTACACTATGTCACTATACACTCTGTCCCAGCAAGCAGGAAGCACATCGATATGCTCATTGGTCTAAGCTGGCCACGTGATGGTGACTTCATGAAAGGTCCTATAATCCCCGGGCTCCATGTGGTATTCCTCTCGGTGACACCATGACTGGAACGTACCAAAGGAAAGCAGCTGTGGCGGTGAAAGACTTCTGTCCGGGGCTGTCCCGGCATCTCTTGTGAGTTCATAGTGCGAGCTTCGTGTGGTGTGATGATACAGTATGAGGGTAAAGCTGTGCGACCGGCGCCAGGACCTAGCATGGCCATGTGCTTCCTGTACATGTGTGTGTGTTTGGGTGGGGGAGTGTAGCAGCGTGTGTGACCTTCCTATACTACTTTGGTGAATCGGCGTGTGTGCTTTTATTTCTTCTTGTAACAGTCACCTCTCCTCCCTAATCCTTGCTGACTTACACCTAGGTTCACACTCAAGCTGTTTTGATCCTTCATTGATCGAACCTTCAGTTGATTGATCAGTCCTTTTAGCGATCAACTCTATTATCGATCGCTGTAATGGAAAAGGTCAAGTCAATCAATGGGTTGGTGGATCGGAGGGGGAGGGGTCGACTGGTCAATCGGAGGGGTCGATTGGAGGGGGAGGGGTCGACTGGTCAATCGGAGGGGTCAATTGGAGAGGGAGGGGGGGTCGATGGGAGGGGGTCGACGGGTCGATCGGGGGGGGTCGATCGGAGGGGTCGGCGGGTCGATTGAGGGGGTCGACGGGTCAATCGGAGGGGTCGGGTCGATCGGCGGGGTCGACTGGTCGATTGGAGGGGGCGATCGGAGGGAGGGTTGATCGGAGAGAGAGAGGGGTTGACTGGTCAATCGGAGGGAAGGTTGATCGGTCAAAGGAAAGCTCCAAAATTGCAGCTATATCAAAATCCATGGATGAAGGATGACCAGGGAGGAGAGGTGTGGGTTAAAAAAAACCCCATCAAAGTCGTATACTAAAGCTTAAATCATATCTATGCTGAGACTTCTGTGAGATAACCTAGAAGTCAATGGGGCTGAAGTCCACCAGGAACCTTTTCCAGAGTCGCACTGTGCTGAGTTGAATAGCAGGGCATCATTGAATATAATGCGATTTCCCTTGTCAGACGATTCTGTAAATCGGGACCTGAAAATGTCCCATCGGTTCGTTGTGTTTTTGATGTGGTTTCCATTCATTTCAATGGAGAGATGCTTTTTAGGTGTGTGCTTTTCTTGTTTGTTTTTTTTCTTTCTTTTTTTTAACTGGACCAAACATTCACCAAAACCACAGCAAGCAGAATTTATTTTTTTAACTGCGAAGTGAACGGACCAGTGTGAAGAATTGCCTAGGATTTTGCTTTTAACTAAAGAACGCACCAAAGTGGGATCAGTGATCAGAGGTCATGGGTGATTTTCAGCAGCTATTATCTCCTGCTTGCGCTGCTTCCATTATGTTATCCCCTTCATGATGAAAGTAAAACAAATCCTCATCTTATTAGGGTACATGCACACTGGATGTTATAAACGACTGCTCTGGATATTTTTCTGGTTCCAAAAAAAAAATGCTTGATGCTGGTAAACGTGTACTGTGTTTACCCGCATCAAGCACTTGGGCGTTTATTCATTTAATTGGTTGGAATAAATCATTTATTTTGGCCATTGAAATGAAAAAGTGGCCAAGCACTAAACGCACCTGGTGTTAATGCACACTTAGCCAGGTTTGGTGTTTTTTTTTTCTGTAAAAACACGTGATGTTTCCACACTGCTCAAAAAAAAAAAAAAAAAAAAAAAGTGTATAGCATCAAGTCAGTTAACCGCTTCCTGACCGCCCTGTAGTAGAAGTACTGGTACAGGGTGGCGGAGATGCTCAGAATCGTGTGTGTGTATGTATATGTATATATATGTGTGTATGTATGTATATATATATATATATATATATATATATATATATATATAAAATGTGTGATTTTGTATTCCCAGGTAGTTCCCTACCCGTACAGCTATTGGCTCCTTGGCATGCCAGTCACCGGGTCCCAGCTGGGACTCGGTGATTGTCGGCGGAGCTGACAGGGGAGAGGTCTGTATGTAAACACAGATCTCTCCCCTGTCAGCACAAACGGGCTGCTTTGTATTGCTCTGAATAGCAGAGCAATACAAAGCAGCTTGTCTCCCTAGTAAAACACAGCACACTCATTACCGTAGTACAGTGTCCGTGCTTTTTATTAGCACTGATCACAGTACTTGTGTCCCCCCAATCCTGCAATAAGTCACTGATCGCCGCCATTACTAGTACCAAAAAAACAAAACCATTCCACTATATATACCACCATTTGTAAACGCTATAACTTTCACATAAACCAATTAATTTACACGTATTGGGATATTTTAGCAAAGACATGTAGCAGAATACATTTTGGCCTACATTTATGATGAAATTTGATTTTTTAAATGTTTTTATTGGACATGTTTAATAGCAAAAAGTCAAAAATATTGGGGTTTTTTTTATAGCGCAAAAAATAAAAAATGCACAGGCGATCAAATACTACCAAAAGAAAGCTCTAATTGTGGGGAAAAAAGGACATACATTTTATTTGGGTGTAGCGTTGCATGATCGTGCAATTGTCAGTTAAAGTAACACAGCGCCGTAACACACAAAAAATGGCCTGGTCAGGAAGGGGGGGGGGGGGGGGTAAATCCTCTGGAGGGCAAGTAGTTAAAAATCAAAACCACAAAAAGTCAAAACCACTGAAAGAAAGCTCTATTTGGGGTGGGGAAAGGACACAAATTTCAATGTACAACGTTGCATGACCACACAATTGTCAGTTAAAGTAACGCAGCGCCGTATCGCAAAAAATGGTCTGGTCGGGGGGGCAGGGTAAATCCTCTGGAGGGCAAGTGGTTAAACTCCTGGGATATTGATCTGGTCAGTTAAGTAGCAGAGGGGGTTGTTAATCAGTTTCAGCTGCTTTTGGTGTTAATGAAATTAATAGGTGCACTAGATGGGCAACAATGAGATGACCCCCAAAACAGGAATGGTTTTACAGCAGGGTGGATTTGATTTAAATAACTAGTAAAAAGGCTCAATTTAGATCATATTTTTAAAGAGCAACTGTCATCTCCTCCTCTGACCCGCTGTTGACTCGCCTACAGTCCCATTCGCTTTAATGGGACAACTGGTGATGAGGCAGTGACACAAGGTGAGGGACTTGGTGGCAGCAGGTGAGTGGATACCTGCTAACAGGCACTGCCGTGATGGATCTAAAATGACAGGTGCTCTTTAAAAGTAAGGAATCCGACTCATTCTTGCTGGTAGTTAGAATCCTTCATATTTGCAAACCAAATGAAGGTTTCCTTTTTAGAATAATAAGCTGTCCGGTTAGTAAAACAGCGATATCAGAACCGATTTTAGGTTAATAGGTTAATCACACAGAGCTGGAGAACGACCCGGATTATTTTATTTCATGGTTTTTCTCATGGTTGCTGTGAAATTGTGTGAATGCGTCAATGCAGTGCGTGTGATCTCAGCTTGCAGAACTTGGATTCATTGAATGAGCTTACTAAAAATGTAAATATTGCAGAATATACAGCCTCATGCTACATAACTAAGCTCCTTTTCATGCTGAATAAACTAAATTATTAATGTATCTTAGAAAACTATCTTTAGATAGATTTTTACCCCAAAAGCATTTTATTAACAAATCTGGTAAAAATAAAAAATTTTTTTTTTTTTTTTTTTTTAATCAATTTTATCCACCCTGTTTTACAGGCAGAGGTCACTGACATTTTTTTTTTTTTTTTCCCTACTCCTCTTTTTTGACTGTTTTTCACTAGTTTTGTATTTGGCTAGGGTCAGTGTCACAACTGGTAGCATGAGGCGATACCTGGACCCTACAGAGGTTGCAAAGGCAGTCCAACTCCTCCAGCATGGCACATCAATACGTATCATTGCCGGAAGGTTTGCTGTGTCTCCCAGCACAGTCTCAAGAGCATGGAGGAGATTCCAGGAGACAGGCAGTTACTCTAGGAGCGCTGGACAGGGCCATAGAGAAGGTCTTTAACCCATCAGCAGGACCGGTGTCTGCTCCTTTGTGCAAGGAGGACCAGGATGAGCACTGTCAGAGCCCTACAAAATGACCTCCAGCAGGCCACTGGTGTGAATGTCTCTGACCAAACAATCAGAAACAGACTTCATGAGGCTAAAATCCTTGGTCCCATTCTCAGACCCTATGCTAGTGCAGTGGGTGCTGGGTTCCTCCTGGTGCATGACAATGCCCAGCCTCGTGGTGGGAGCATGCACACAGTTCCTGGAGGATGAAGAAATTGAATGGCTCCCACGCTCACCTGACCTAAATCCAATACAACACTTGCAGGATATCATGTTTCGGTCCATCCGACGACACCAGGTTGCACCTCAGACTCTCCAGGAGCTCAGGGATGCCCTGGTCCAGATCTGGGAGGAAATACCCCAGGACACCATCTGTCTCATTAGGAGCATGCCCCGACGTTGTCAGACATGCATACAAGCACGTGGGGGCCATACAAACTACGGAGTACCATTTTGAGTTACTGCAATGCAATTTCAGACTGCTGGATACTTTCTTCACTTTGATTTTCAGGGTGTCTGAATTCAGTCCTCTGTAGGTTGATTTTCATTTCCATCAAACGATGGGGCATCCTTCTGTTCCTAACACATTACCCCGTCCATGTCAGTATTAATATTCTGCATGATATTTTTCCCCATTGAGATCTGATGTGTTTTCAAAGTATTCCTTAAACCGCTTCCCGACCGCCCTATAGAAGAAAAACTGCTACAGGGCGGCACGATGCGCAAAATCACGTTGTGTATATATATACAGGATTTCACATTTCTGGGTAGGAGGTGCACGTGCACCCTACCCGCTCCACCATTCGTGGCCGCTGCTGTCAATCACAGGGTCCCGGCCAATGATTACTCGCTGGTGACCGCTGATTGCCGAGCATCTCTGACGGGGAGAACGGTTTGTAAACAAAACAGTTCTCTTCCGTGTCAGCTCATGCACACTGCTTTGGACGGCTGTGCAGAGAGCACGGCCATGCAAAGCAGTGTGCTTACAGTGAAGTACACAGTTAACCCTTTGATCGCCCCCTCATGTTAACCCCTCCTGCCCAGTTCTATTAGTACAGTGTCGGTGCCTTTTTTTTTTTTTTTTTTTTTTTAAGCACTGATCACTGT